TGAACCCTAGCAGAGATAGGAAAAGGTAGGGAAGGCTTGGTAGGACTTTAATCTTATTTATACAGGGAAACATAAGACAAGCCTTGTTTCACACCGGTATTCTGTGAGGTCACTACTTAAATGGCTAATGGGTGCCATTATTTCACTTTCCTAAAATGTTTGTCATGTACCGTACCTACAATACAGTCAGCTACATGTTTTAAAAAGCAATACCACCAAAACGGACACCTCATTCACGGACCCTATTCACATTTTGCTATTGCAAAGACCAAATGAAAATTTAACCGTCAAAATTTCATGGTCTATGGTCGCCGTTCTTACCTACATTAACCCTCGGGCAACAGAACTCGAAAACTTTCCTTTACCAGTTGTTTTGATAACCAAAACGAAATTAATTATGAACAATATTCGCAATTTCTAAGGAAACAGATATCTGTAAGGGATTGTTTGTTTTTCTAATAAGAAATATATATATATATATTAGGTTATCTGTTATTTATTTACCTACTTTGTTTATCTTCTAATTCCAATTTTAGGTTGGGACGGTAACCTCCGCTTTGAATAAATGTATGTAAACATGTATTTGGTTTCTGGTTATGTACATATACATACTTGTGGATAATTTATTTCTACAAAACATAACATTTACTCTTACGTTCATCGTTTTTTACACGACGCGCGACGGCCACCATGACCAAACGTTTTGTTATTTTTTTCTTTTTTTTTACTGTAAAATGGTAAGTACCAGTTATTGTAATCCAGTTCATGACTCCAACAATACAAAACATGCAGTCATAAATAATAAAATTTATCATTGGAAGTGCATGTCGAGGGAACAGATATGTGTACATTTCACATACATTTCCGACAAGTACCGGATGAAAACCGGAGTTAACCGGACCGGTCGCGTCTAGTTCTGTTGAGACTTTTTTGTGGCAATTTAATGTTGGGACCTGCATGCGTTGGAAACAAACTTTTTTATTGTCGTAAATATCTATCTATCGATTTGTAACAATACTTTTAAATAGTCATCATTTAATTTCTCCTTATTTTTACACACTCAAATTAAACGAACCAAAATATAGATAAATATAAAATAACGAGTCGCTTAGATGTATACATACGTACCTATGTATATTCACGTTCAATAAAACTGTGTTACCTTTTTATCGGGACATCCATTCGTTGGGGAAAACGATTGGTAAATAAAGAACTCGGGGTAAATTACCCATAAAGGCTCCAAACTTCCCAAATAGGACAACATTCGTCTCCGAGGTGAATGTGATTGATGATGCAATACATTGTTACTGAAGGCACGATAAAATGTTTGACAGCATATCATTCCTCACTCCTGTCTAGCATTCTGGGTCGCAGCCAAGATCCAGCATGGCGGAACGAAAATTATTCTTATTAGCAAAACGTTAAAAGAATATTTATTCTGGAAGCGCTAAAGGTTAGGAGGTTATGGTAATTGATTTGTCTATTCACTTTACCGATGTTTTGTTCCTATGTGTATGTTGTATACATATTATTTAATATTATATTTTTTCTGGTCGAAATTACAACTATGATAGATGTTAACTTGATGACTGTTGTATAAATATTTAAGTAGTTTTCAAGAATGTGTTGGGGCTAGATCGGAGTGAAATCACGGCCTTGCAGAAAACCGGAATGAGGTTACCAGAGGCCCTATACTTCCCCTCTTCCGTCCTTCTCCAATCCCTAAATCTCTGGAATCTCAATTCGAAGATTTTGCAAATTTGCAAAAGTGTGGGAGAGCCATGCTTCGGGACGAATGGGTCGGCTCGACTGGAGTGACACCATGGCTTCACAGAAAACCGGCGTGAAACAACCACAACGTTGTGTTTCGCCGTGTAAGTGTGGTTACCGGAAGCCCAATCCTTCCCCTCCCCCAATCCCTCCCCAATCCTTAAATCTCCTATCCCTAATCCCTAAAAGGTCGGCAACGCACTCGTAACTCCTCCGTTGCAGGGGTCCATAGGCGGCGCTGATTGCTTACCAGCAGGTAATAGGACTGCACGTTTGCCGACCATTACATAAAAAACAAAATATGATGATGATGTGATGTGTGGCAATAAGTTCAGTTCTTGTATAACCTACGTGAAACTTTCAACTGGTGAAAAAATACATTTAACTCGAACTAATAGAAAAAGACATAATTTTTGTATGCAGGAAAATATATTATCTACCAGAAATTTAATTCTGTTTGTCTTCTAAAACTCAATTCATGGCGTATAGACGGTGCAATATCCCCGCCGACCATAAGCCGATTGCTTTGGGCTTAAAGCTCAGCTTACACAGAGTGCAAGCATTACGGTATCAGACGGAATTTTACCCGCTTTGTAAGACTTGTATTGTATGAAAGTTCATGTAAAAGGTCATAAAAGGTATTGTAACGAGTGACAATTTATTAGAACTTGTTTTGTAAGTACATCTGGTGGCCTCTGTGTCCAATAATTTCGTGTTTCAACAATTAATTTTTTTTATAAGTGTATTTATTATATAAACCATGTAAAAAAAGGTTTTTTTTTGGGAGGGGAAAATCATCAAATGACTTCTCCTGCTCTGGGTCGCGGTCGCGGTGCCTCATTGCGCTTACCCCGCAACACCGGCTGAACATCAGCCCTATAGAGACCCGTCTGTGGTGGTCTATTGGCTCTCTGAGGCGCGCGCCGAACGCTACGCGCCGTACGCTCGGGCCTGGTTCTCGGGCGGCGAGCTGCGCTTACCGCGCTTATGGTGGCCGGAGATCGTGCCTTGATCCCCGACGCCCGTAGTGTCGCCTGTTGTGGCGGCTGGAGCTTGAGGAGGAGGATTGCTCCCTCACGCGGGCCGCCTCTCTCTTTGCGAGCATGACTGCTTCACAGAAGGAGGAGACGGCGTCCCAGTTCCTGTCACTTCGATGTAATAAAGGGTAACTGGCTTCGTGTCCAGCTGCGCCACACCAGTAAGCGAAACACAACGCCGACACTTCGTGTGCATTAGTGAGTTAATTATGTTGTATATGTTATAGTATTATACATATAAATGAGCATTGACAGTTATTATGTAATGCTTAAATAAATATTTATAGTATTTTTAAGTTTTATATTATTTAGCAAATATAGTATTGTATATGTTCTCATGGGCCTTCGCCTGAAATAAATGGATAGATAAATAAAATAAACTACGATTACCAAACTTTAATACTATGTACGTGATGTGAAATGATTCTATATGTACATATATAATTATTGTTATACTTATACAAAGCACAAACTTGCATACAACTTAGTTTAGTTCACGTCTGTCTGTGGTCTTCATGCTACAACGAAGTTTTATAGCAGAACTTACTAAGTTATATCCAGTAAATGCATGGTTTGGGTTCAAATGCAATAACAGCAGCCCCGGTTGGGACAGGAGGAGAAACGGGGTAGTGTTAGTCATTAAGAGTTAACGTTAAAAGTTAAATTCACGCGACAGGAATCTTTCCCTACCCAGGACATCATTTGATGATTTTCTCCCTCATAAAAAAGGTATCAGCTACTGATAAATGATCATTGACTATAGGCATATAGAAATCGAATTGACGGTTTTAGAGTAGCGGTTTATTACCTACTAACTTTTAAACTTTCGCATTCCATATTAACAACATATATTTATTTCTGTTCGTCGTTGTGTTTTGCCGTGTGAGTGAGGTTACCGGAGGCCCAATCCTTCCCCTTCCCCTAATCCCTCCTCAATCCCTAAATCTCCAAATGCCTAATCCTTAAAAGGTCGGCAACGCACTCGTTACTCCTCCGTTGCGAGTGTCCATGGGCGGCGCTGATTGCTTACCATCAGGTTCCGTCTGCTCGTTTGCCGACCTATTATTACACAAAAAAAAAACTTGTGACCACGAACTGTGTAACCGGTTCGAAGCGTCAAGCCTACCAAGTTATTCAAATAATAATATTCCGCGTAAATACATACGAGCGAAAAAAATATATGGCGGTTTAGTGTTAAAGGAACTTGAGTAAAGATTACAGTTATTTTCTGAGTAAGATACCGATGCCATGAAATCATGAATGTGCGCATATAATTACTATGTACAAGCCAGAAAGAAGAAAGTATATGAAAACATTCTTCGAATCCTCTGAAATATTATCTCAAACGTAAGAACATTGTTCAATATAAAAATTTGTAGGTATTTCAAATAAAAATGTCCTTCGACACGCTACACGCAGCCACTTTCTGAAAGAACCAGCCGCAAAGTACCATAACCCTTTCAACGCATATATCGGTTTTAGCACTCGCAGCTTTCACATATATTGGGACTACAGGGCCCTTACAATAAAAGGTTTAGCGCCGCATACGATGATAAAAAAGAAAATAACCTAAAAGCCTATCGATAACGTTTTACTTCTTTTATCAGCTCATAAGTTGTTTTAAAGCATTATAAGTTGTAATATATTTCTTATATAAGAACCACTTCAATACAATTGGTCCTGCGCCATCAGGGTGATGTCACGGCCTCGTTGAAAACCGGACAAAAACAACCTGGCGTTATGTTTCACCGTAAGTGTGGTATGCGTAACTAATCGCATAAATGCAATCCTCAAATTAGAAAGCCCAAAGCGCTTAATTAACTAAAAATCACGGGTTACTCACGTCTATATTGAGAAAAGCTCTACTAGTTTCGAACCACAGAGGGGTTCTTCCTCATAAGCAGCGTGCGCGTACGCGGCGACGTCGCGCAGCCTAAGCCCAAAAGCGCTTGTTTGTGATTGAGGGGAAAATTAACATTATTAGTTCTCTCGCGCAGGACGAGGTGAAAGGAAGTGTCAGATTCTCACTGACTAAACCCCTCCCCTCGGTCCTTCTCCTGCTTTAGACCGAGGCTGCGGTGCCTTATTGTGCTAGCCCCGCGACCCCAGCTGAACATCGGCTCTGTAGGGCCCCGCCTGTGGTGGTTGGTCTATTTAGCGGAACGCTACGTGCGGATCTGACTTGTCGTCCGATCACCGATGCCCGGAGCGTCCAATAATGGTGGTTGGGGTGTGAGGAGGATAGTTCTTTGCGAGCATATCACGTTCTTTGCAGAAAGAAAAGACGGCTTCCCTGTTTCTCTCGCTCTGAACCATAGCCTCGGCAAAACGCGAACACTCCGGGCGTCGGGAACTGAGAGACGATCTCCGACTACCGTTACCCGGGTCTGAGGACGGCGAGAAAGGGTAGCTCGCCGTCCAGCCAGAACCAATCCCAAGCGTACAGCGCGTAGCGTTCCTCGCGCGCCTCAGGGCGCCGGCCTGATATTCAGCCGGGGTTGCGAGGTAAGCGCAATGTTCACCGCAGCCTCGGCCTGAAGCAGGAGAAGGAACAGGGGTTTTAGTCTGACACTCTCTCGCCTTAAACGGGACGGGAGAACGGGAGAAGTCATTTAATGATTTACCCCTGACAGAAAAAAACCTATTCCTTGAATAAACTAATGGAGAATAAAATATTATTCCATAATCTCACTAGAGATAATTTCGCTAACAATACGAATAAACCGGTTTTATCCGCATTACGGTCGCGCTTCCCTGTAATATCTCAAAGCCATCGTACCCGAGCGTGTTTGCGGATTAAATTACATTCTATAGTTACGTTCCAGTGAACAGTTGTTGCGGCACTCGATCATAAAGGTTCACAAGAAGAATGGGACGTTTAACGTCGGAAAATGTAACTTTTATTCCTTGTTAAAAGGTAACAATCAGATTTTCTCCAATATCAGATTTAGATGTACGTAGTGGGACCTATTATACCAATGCGAGGTTTTTGAGGAGGATAAATCATTCAATACCCTATATACGCTTGTTAGACTATTATTCTAGAGTAAGACTCTTACTGACTAAAAACCACCTCGTTTATTTTCCTGTTCCGAGCTGGTCCCGGTGCAGCATTTCTATGGTGAGTGGTTACACGGCAGTTCAACGATTATACTTTTTTTCGATAAAAAAGTACTTGTCTACTTAATGAGTAACTTCAAATATACTCGAATATCAGGGACACTTATATAAATACTACACTAGCAATTTCCACTTTACCCTCTGGTCGGCTCGGATAATTAAGCAAAGATACCAATTAAAAAGAAAATACCCCTAAAACCCTGAGAAAACAAAGTCTGTCGCAACCGAGGGCAGGACTTGTGAGACGCCATGGCGTCCTCAACTTCCACCTGACGCAGGTGCTTGCAAGGCACGGCAGATTCGGTAGGTTCCTATTTCGGATCCAGCGGGAGGAAACGCCCAGATGTCGTCATTGAGAGAATTTGTGGAGCATACAGTTGCGGTGTTTCAGTCAATCCTGCTTAGGCTGCCAAGACCGAGTGTGGCGATCATCCGCGCTCGGCTATAGTCGAGGCCATAGAGCGAATCGAGAGGAACTGGGAAGCTGTATTCTCTTTCTACAAAGCAATCATTGCAAACTAGGAAGCAGAGCTCGTGAAGGAACTGTCCTCTTCACGCCCCAGCCGCCTGTAGGAAACACTTCCGGGCCTCCGGGGTCGGGGATCGTGCGACAATCTGCGGCCACCGTAAGCACCAGAACCAGACCTGAGCGGTATGGTATGTACATATATATACAAATAAAGTAATTTGAATGGGTTGATGTTCAGCTGGGGTTGCGTGGTAAGTGCCATAATGCAATAGCCTCCGCCTGGAGCAGAAGAAGAAACGGGTTGGTTTTCAGTCAGTAAAAGTCTGACTCTGACTCTTGCCACACGCAGAGCGAGAGAATTATTTTGATGAGTTTTTTTTTAGACAAGTTACAAGTTTTGTATGCTCCAAAATTCTACATCTTTAAGAACCATTTCAACCCAAAATCTGGAGTTATCACATTATTGAGTATTGACCGAAAATCGTAAAAAACTAAAATGAAACGGCAAAGTCATAGTTTTGTATTGTATTTCATTTGAAATTGATAGTTATTTAAACCTAAAACAGCGCTTTGTCTAGGATAGGTACAGTATTTTAACACAAAAACATAACAATCCTATTTTGTGAAAAATAAATAAATATTTTGTACTTAATGCAAAGTGTCAATAGTATTATTTTTCTGCAAGATAGAACAACCTTGTTTACACTTTAAATATAAAAAACGAAGTATAAAATGATAACATTAGGTATAATTTAACCTTACTCGGTAATTAATACATTTGCGCGTTCAAAATAAATATACACCGATAAGGTTAGTTATTATTAATTCTTATTAATAAATACTCTACAACTTCCTCGTTAGTCATGTCGATTTACATTATATTAAGAGTATAAATTGTACCTGGTATATAAATAATTCGCATACCGTTAGTTCGGGTTACTTTGACCCTGGGAGGTAACTTTGATCCAAATTTTCGAACCAATGAAAAACGAATATATGTTTGGTTCTCAGTTATTATTGGTTAAAGGGTTTGGATCAAAGTTACCCCGCAGGGTCAAAGTAACCCGAACTTACCCGCTATTATATGAATTTAGTGCTATACAACCTTGTAAATTTATTTCTTTGGTCCCACATTCTACTAACAACAATAATTATTGTTTGCCTATTCGGCAATTACTATCAGTGTCACCTTTGCTCTCATCTTGTGTGTACGTAAAATGAATCTAGCCATTACATGTTCCATTATTAACTAATTAAAGTCTTAACAAACACCTTATTCATTAAAACAAAATTAGATATGCAATTTGTAGTGTTAACCAACGTAACGCTTTATATTTTAACACAGCAAGTTAAATTATAAAAATAATTTGTTAAAATATCTAAAAATATATTATACAAAATATATAGTTTTTAAAGTCAATTTTTTCTTTTACTAATCACATGTCATTATTGGGAAAAAAACATTTATAATTTACACTGCTATAAACAGGGACATCCACCAGGGAGGGTTATTTAGCCACGATTTTAGTTTTTCTCTAGGGGGCAACATACCAGTGTCCCGCTTAGGTTCCGGCATTTTGGCGTATGTCATCAAAGTTTTACAATCGACAACAGTGCGTAAGAAGGCGTCTTTTGTTTGGATCTCTACCGCACACTCCATGTTGTTAGGGTCCACCGGTGACCCTTTTACACTCAAAGGATCAACAAAGGATGAATTAGTGATACACACTGTCACGTTCACCATAGTCGCGTTCGTCGTCACCGTCTTGGTGATGTAAGATACGGTACCGTTCACCGATGTTTGTGTAGTTACTGAACTCGTTCCGTTTAATGGTAAAGTTTTGTTTACACTCGGCGGAGGAGAATTTGGCAGTTCTACTATCATGGAACCATTTGGCGCCATCGTCATTTTGCCTTTCGCTACAGTGAACAATTCATTCAATGAAAGTGCAGAAAAGTTTATAGTATCCATACTTACTAACTTAGTATTTGACTCGTTAGTCGACGTTGTTGAAGGTTTAGGAACTGTATTGTTGGTAATAGTTGTTGTACACTCGGTTTTATTAACTTGAGTTTGTTGCGGTGGTGTCACTTTTTTACTATCTTGAGTAAAGGTTGAAACAATTTCACACGGAATTTTTAGAGCATCCTCGCGACCGTTTTCTTTTACTTTCAGTACGCAATTCGCTTCATCTTGAGGCTTGCTTTGTGGTGTGTAGGTGGAGCCGTATGATGGGGAATCGTACCTGTGTCTGTAGTAGTCGTCATAATAGTAATGATTGTGGTAGTGGCTGTGCGAGCGACCGAGGTTGTACAGGGATAAACCAGTCAACAAGTCTCCGTAACGACTGTTTGAACTCCTGTAATCTTGTATGTACACGTACTGTGGCGTAGAGTAGTATGTTGGCACTGAGTGTGGCGCGTTGTTATGGTAGTAATGATGATTAGACGTAGGTCTATAATTCGATCCAGAACCACTCATTCCTGATGATGAGGTCGGGTAACTAGATGATCCAAAATGCCACGAAGATCCTGAGGACGATGAGGGGTATTTACTGCCGGAGCCGTATCCAAATAATCCTGAGGACGACGAAGGATATGTGTGAGAGTTGGAACCATATCCAGATAATCCTGATGACGACGAAGGGTATGAATGAGAGCCGGATCCATATCCAGATAAACCAGAGGACGATGAAGGATATCCGTGTGATCCTGATCCCGAAAGTCCTGATGATGATGACGGATAACTAGATGATCCAAAGTTCCATGAAGATCCAGAAGACGATGAGGGGTATTTACTACCGGAGCCATATCCAGATAATCCCGAGGACGAAGAAGGATATGTGTGTGAATTAGACCCATATCCAGATAATCCTGATGACGACGAAGGGTATGAATGTGAGCCGGACCCATAACCAGATAAACCAGAGGATGAAGAAGGATATCCGTGAGAGCTTGATCCCGAAAGTCCTGATGATGATTTAGGGTAGCTATGTGATGACGTTGAGGAGCGTCCCCAATGACTTCCTGATGAAGAGCTTGATCCCCAACTGCGTCCGGAGCTGCGACTCGATGAGAAGCCTCCTCCGCTTCTACCACTACTTCCTCTTCCACATTCTATGTAGTTCACAGTCAAACACGAAACTATCAGGCACAACAAAAATATTCTGTTGGCCATTTTACGTGACGTTATTGAGCGAGTGCTCAGACGCGTTTGATCGTCCCACCGTTGATTGGTTTTATTTAAAACGAGTCCGTGTGACTGTGTGTCTGAGCATGACGTCAGCCAGTATTCAGAGAATCTCATTTGCTTGTGTAGATAACAGATAAGTAAGGGTAGTAGGTGAAGTAAATATCGAAGTCATTCAAACGTTTGAATGAATTAATTTTTACTTTATTGGTTGTAGTTAAGTTTTTAGTTCAAATAAATTCCAGCGATTCCTCGACTTACGCATTCAGAGTATCTGAAGACTATATAAGTAGCCAGCACTCTACTTGCTGTTTCTTCTATTATGTGTGACCTATTCTTATTTTCACCTCAACTTATTAATGCTGTTCTAATAGCAGATACTTACTCTGTCTTGGTGGCCCCAATATTAAGGCGCCCGCTTTTCATGCATGAAGAGACGGGTGCAAACCTGGCAAATACCAATGTGTCCGAATAATAATAATAAGGTTTTATAAAAAAAACTTCATTTTTCAATTCGGACACATCAACAACACATTCTTAATACCGAGATGCTTTGCAATAATTGTTCAAACAAATTGCAAAAATTGTGCTCAATAAAATATTGTTTTTCTTTAATGATTAAAATAATGTTTTCATTTTTAAGAGTGGCAGACCCATGCTTCCGCACGAATGGGTCGGCTCGACCGGAGTGATACCCCGGCCTCAAAGAAAACCACGGTATTGTGTTTCACCGTATGAGTGAGGTTACCGGAGGCCCAATCAATACTTCCCCTCCCCCAATCTCTAAATCTCCAAACCCTAATCCCTAAAAGGTCGGCAATGCACTCGTAACTCCTCCATTGCGGGCTTGCGGGTGTCCATGGGGGGCGCTGATTGTTTACCATCAGGTAATCCGTATGCTCGTTTGCAAACCTATTTAATAGTAATAAAAAAATGAAATAGAAAATAATATTTTATGGATATTTAATAATTTCGTATTCGGTGCCAAGTAAGATTACCTAAATACCTATTGTTAGTTTGATGATAAGTAGGTACCGACGAATATAATTTTTCTAATGCTGTTGTTGTTTTGTAATTGCTTCAATATATTTAATTCATATTGTATGTAAGTACCTACTTAGGAATTTGATATATAATTATTACTGTAAGGTTTCTGTAGCATTTACTTGGCACCGACTTCAAGATTATAAAATTGTAATAAAAGACTAGCTTTTGTAGCGCGGTTTCCCTCGCTGCTCGGCTCCTACAAATCATAGAGTAATAGCCTAAAGCATTTTTCGATAATTAAACACAAAAATAATTATTCAATTCGAACCAGTGGTTCTGGAGGTTATCGCGTTAAAACAAACAAACTCTACAGCTTTTTAATATTATTATTATATGTAGATTATTTTCCATTTAACTAAATGAAAAGAATACGTATTTCTTTGGACAAAGCAAAAGAAAATGTCCAAATTGGCCCTAAATTGCAATAAAGAGTGCACGGTTGGCGCGGTGGCTGGGCAACTGGCTGCCGCGCAACGTGTCGCGGGTTCGATTCCCGCACGGATTGTGTAATCCAAAAATTGTTGTTCCAGGTCTGGGTGTGATGTGCATGTGGAATTGTATGTTTGTAAACGCACCCACGACACAGGAAAAAATCATAGTGTGGGGCAACGTTTTTAAAGAAGAAAAAAAAGAGCGTCTGAATACAATATAATTAATGGTTTCTTTTATTATATAAATTTAATTATACTTTAAACTTTTGCGTGGCAAATTAATACTTTACTGTATTACGAGATTTAACGCTCACGCACATTTTATTTGTTTTTTAATTGACGTTTCGGCAGGGTTACACCTGCCGTGGTCCACACCGCAAACCACCATTTTCATAAAGGATTTAAATTAATTTAATTTGATTTCGCCGTGGTCACAAGCAGGCTGTCAATCAGACAAACTGTTTGGTTTATTAAAGTTACACTTCGTAAAATTGGATTATAGTTTCGGACAACATAATCGTCTTTCTAACACATTACTTAAGTTGACAGGCTCGTTACCAAATGTGCCAACACCAACACGTGAAAGAAAGAAAGAAAAACCATTTATTTACGCAAAAGACGCAAAAGCAACAAACCAAACAAGTGAAACTAACTACGATACAAACATATAAACATTTAAATACGAAAAATGGATAGCGCTCGGCATAAATGCTGTGCCTCGCGCACGCAGGCACGAGACAACAGCGCTGGTTTTCAGCGCTGACCCGCATGTCTTTGCCTCGGAAATTTAATGAGTTACGAGACAATCCTGGACATGTTTAACGCTATTTCGGCAAAGGACATATACACAGGAATACAAAATAAAAATTAGGACGAAAAAGTTTGACAAAAAATAAAAACGTGGTCGATACAGTGTTGAAAAAGATCAAAATTTGTCAATTTCATCGACTTTCAAATACTATACAAAACCTTTACGTGGCGAATTTGGGTAAAGATTTGGGTTTTAAGCCTTACAAAGTTCAATGCTCGAGTAATTGAAGTCGACCGACCATTCAAATCACACAACCCGCAAAATTGTTCCATTAGGGCTTCTGATCGTCACTGGAGTGAAACTCCACTTCCACACCAAATAAGTGCGTTTCGGAATGAGCTCCGGTGCGATCTCATGGCAGAATGGAAACAATGTATGTCGCAACCAAGGGCAGGGCACACCGCCCTCTCGCGCCCGTCCTTAGTCGTGACCATGATGCGGACCGAGAGGAACTGGGAAGCCGTCTCCTCTTTCTTCGAAGCAGTTATTTTCGCAAAGGAAGCGGCTTCCCAGTTCCTCTCGCACCTTTTAACGCCCCAGCCGCTGCAGTAGGCACCGTAGCCGCGCAGTAGCTGGCCACCACCTCAAAGCCAAGCCCACACAGGCGCGATCCCCAAAACCTTACCAAACCTGAATTTACAACTTATTAATAATTTCGTTTAAAGCTCTCTTATTTCTAAGAACCTCGACTGTGGTTGTGTTGTCAACAATGACTCATGCGCACGCCATGAATGACGCGTGACATACTTTTATCTGACGTATACCAAGTATTTTCATAAATGGCAGCATAACTCTTCATCAATTTAATTATTTGTCGAAACTATACATACCTAAATAAAATAATATATTTTTTCTCTTTGTTTTGTAGATAATTGATTGTTTCTTTAGAAAATAATATTTTTATTCAAGATCTAAGTTACTTCTAACTCGAAAAATTGTTAAACTTGTATGGAACTACGAAATTAAATCGAAAACACTTAGGTATACTTACTTAGGTTTAAGTATGTAAGAAAATCTTGGAATCCTAATTTTGACTCACTCTCTGGTCTTTGGTTAGGATGAACACTCTGAGTTCTGAAGATAGTATGTACATTTACAAATTAAATCCTATAAAGGCGCCTCCCCAACATGGCGGACACACTAATCTTATAAATATACCCCATGTTATGGTTTTGCTGGATGGGATACGGAAAAACTAAAAATAACATATAGTTTAAAAAACTAATAACATGTGTTGTGAGCCACGAGAGATGATCTCCGGCCACCGTAAGCGCGGGTCTGCGGACAGCGAGAAAGGGTAGCTCGCCGCCCGACCAGAACCAGACCCGAGCGTATGGCGCGTAGCGTTCCGCGTGTGCCTTAGAGAGCCAATAGACCATCACAGGCGGGACCCTATAGGGCTGATGTTCAGCCGGGGTTGCGGGTTAAGCGCAATGAGGCACCGTGACCTCGGCCCAGAGCAGGAGAAGAAACAGGGGAGTTTTTAGTCAGTAAGAGTCTGACTTTCCTTTCTTTCCAGTCTTTCATTAGATGATTTTCCCCTTACAAAAAAAATTTGTGTGGTGTACCAATGACGATTTATGGGACGAACGATTGACGTTTCAATGTGGTCTCTCACTTTGGACCTTATAAGAAAGCTCCAGGTGCACTCAGGTGCACTCAGAGCACGGGACTAGCTTGCTCGCTCGCTTTCCCCCGTACTATATCAAAATCTTTGGCTCTATATTCATCAATGGACATCTTGGAACTGATTATAGTGATGATGTAGTAGTGAGTAGCCACAGTTTTATATTTTTAAATACGCCTGTCAGAATACTATTAATATTATTGTGTGAGGTCGCTAGATCGCTTCGTTTGCTCAGCAGTTTTCTACAGTACCGCGTTCATTTTATACTAATTTAATCAATGTTGTGGTGTTATGTTTAGCACTAAATAAAAAAAAAAATTTTTTTTGATAAATTCTACTAGTTTCTCTAGCCGATTTGCGTAAGTCGAATCTCGAGTAGTACTTAGTAGTCAATCATGGGGAGGATGAAGGAACGTACAAGAAAAACTCTGAATCACGCGGGAGAAAAGTTTAAAGCAGTACACACTACGCAGCACTCCTGTGACCTTCTGATTGACATGAGCAACCTGTTTACGCCAAGCAAGGATCGAGTCAATATACACACCGAGATCTTTGACATCGGCACTCAATGGAATGGTGATGCCTTTAAACAAAAGACGCGGTATAGGCAGATTCTAAACCTTACCTATGTTGTGGTGACCAAAGTATTATTATTAGTCAGGCAGACTATAATTGGCAATCTGTAATTGGTAACCTGGCATTTTGCAGGGTTGCCTGCTACACCAAACCTATCAGCGCAACTTTTGACTCTGTCAAGGTCTCGATTCATCTCTGCGATTACCTCAGCAACATCTTCACCCTCAACTGACGGGACAGCTGTAGATCGAAACAGCAAAAACTACTGAACTTCGGTGCGTACAGATGATACACACCGAAGTTCAGTAGTAATAAAATTTATAAAGATAGAGAATAAGAGTGGAGATAAAATACTGCCTTGAAGAACACCGGTTGCGAGATCACGCCAACATGATGACGAGTCACCTAAGCGCACTGATTGTTGGTACCCCGAAAGATAACCAACTAACCAGATAAGAGGCAAGGATCGATAATAGGATATCATGACTGACGGTTTTTAACGCAACTGAAAAGTTAACTAGTACAAAACAAGTGAGGGGCAACTGTATTTTTTTTAATTTTCTTAAATAATTCCCTGACGGAATGCCTCTGACTAAGATTATAAATTTATCGAATGTGTATCTTCTGCAGAACAGAGGTAGACTGAATATAAGCAGGATTCCGCCACAACATAATACCATATGACACGATGCTATGGTCATATACATCTGTTAAATTTCATCTGTTAAATTCTTTCTTATATTATAGTATACATTCAGTCAACAAAGTATCGGGAATGAATGTTTTTTTTATGGTTCCAAATTCGAATTTTAATTTTTTTTTTTTTTTGTTGTTGTTAGATTGGCATAACTGTTTTCCATTTTGGCGCGGAATTCGAGTTGCATCTGTTATTTATATTAAAAACAGTGCTGTTTTTAGTTTTATAATATCTAGTGTGTATTGCGAATTTCATAATGGACAAAAACATCGAACAACGCAACATTCGCCGTGTGGGTGAGGTTACCAGAGGCCCAATCCTTCCCCTCCCCCAATCCCTAAATCTCCAATCCCTAATCCCTAAAAGGTCGGAAACGCACTCATAACTCCTCTGTTGTTGCGGGTGTCCATGGGCGGCGCTGATTGCTGACCATTAGGTAATCCGTCTGCTCGTTTGCCAATATATTGCATAAAAAAATACTCCGTTACTTCAACTCTCTGAACTGTGTCATTCAGGTATGAGGTAAAAAGGTTCAGGGAGGCACCCCTTATTCTGTAACGGGATAGGCAGATTTCAAATGAATATCAGTCGAAACTTAATTAATTTTAATATTTTTTAAATACGCCTGTCAGAATACTTTGATTATTGTTGTGTGAGATCGTTATTCTCTTAGTTTGCTCAGCATTTTTAAACAGTACCGCATCTCTTTTTAAAATTGACACTAGCTTCTGTCGCGCGGTTTCACTCACTGCGCGGCTCGTGCGTAGCGATGTTTTATATTCTAAAACCTTCTGCAATAAATGTTCTAACAAACTCAAAAAGAATTATTCAATTCGAATCAGTAGTTCTGGAAATTAGCGCGTTCAAACAAACAAACTCTCCAGTTTTATAATATAAAAAATAAAGTATATCTATACTTAACATTGTTGTGAATCAAACTTAAATCAAACGATTTCCATCGTCCAGGAATGTAGTCCAAGCCCAAAATAACACGTGGTATGCAACATAACAAACATGTTCTCAAGGTCAGTTGGGAGCACCGAACAATTGATGCCAATTAAATTATTAAAAAGCAACACGCCCAACGCAATAAAATCATAACATCTATAAAAATACTTTCGCATCAAAGAGATTCTAAGAAACCCCTCTTTTGTGGAGAAAATCTATAGTCAGAGATTATTGATAAATTATTTATTTTATTCTTTATATATGTAAAATTGCGTATAATTATCAGAGGACTTAATGCAAGAAGCATTTTCTGCCAGTCATCCTGTTGGTATTGCAGAGATGCGTGGTAGGTGATATGCAGCAATAAAATTACCTAATCAGAACCTGAACAGTGTTTCCTTAAAAGCTCACCATATCGCCGGGGTCCCTGTATGCTGAATCCTCGCAGGTACCTATGAAAGTTCTTAAGCACAATTCCTTACTGTTTTAAACAAGTATGAATTAATAAAATGTCACTTAAAGTATAAACTAAGACACTTTATCGAAAAACTATTTGCGTTTTTTTCAGGCAACGTTTTTTTTATGTAATAGGTCGGCAAACGAGCAGACGGATTACCTGATGGTAAGCAATCAGCGCCGCCCATGGACACTCGCAACGGAGGAGTTACCAGTGCGTTGCCGACCTTTTGGGATTAGCGATTTGGAGATTTAGGGATTGAGGAGGGATTGGGGGAGGGGAAGGATTGAGCCTCCGGAAACCTCACTCACACGGCGAAACGGCTCGCCTCACCCTGGGCAGGAGAAGTCATTTGATAATATTCCGCGCACAAAAAAAACAAAAAAGCATTGTATTTGATTATATTTTAAAAAGATTATTTATTTCAACCTGTTAAACAGGGGTTTATCTAGGATACAGTCTTTTAATACATAAAAATTACGATTTCTCTTTGCGTAAAGAAATAAGTATATTCACGCAAAGTAGGTAGGTTATTATAAAGTGTCCAATTTTTTTTTTGCAAGATTACACTATCTTGTCAATTTTAATATGAAAAACAAAGTATAAAATGATAACATTATTATTTAACCTTAGTCCTTAATTAGTACAATGATTGTGTAGGTACATTAATTTGCGTTCAAAACGAATGGACACAATCATTTATAATATTAATTCTCATTAACAATCCTCATTACATGAATTTTGAGAATTTAACATGTATCATTTCATATGTGTCAGATAAATACATTATTCGTATGGTATGGAGGTATCAAAGTTGGTGAATTAATTTCTTTGGTAGTAGGTACACATGAAGCTAACAATAGTAATTACTACTAGGTATTTATATTTTGTAATGGGCAGGCATTATATTAAAAGATTATTGGCCTGTTTGGCAGTCACTCTCAGTGATAAGATCGCCTTTTGAACTTCTCGTTTTCTCGTTTAAAATACCAGATATCAAGGCACTGTATAAAATTACTAGTGTTCCTAAAATATACCTATTATATGTAACATTGATAACAAATTATAATTAAAACTCACTTCATCTCTATTTACCAACTCAAGACTATTGTAACACAGCAAGCTAAATAATAAAAATATTTTCTTAAAATAACAGGAAAATACATACTAAATAAGAACTAACCAAAAGTTTTAAAATTCTACTACATCACGTGTCATTTAATTATTGGGAAATGACTTTAACAAAACTGACCGTCTTTTACATAATTTACACTGCTATAAACAGGGACATCCACCAGGGAGGGCTATTCAGCCATGATTTTAGTTTTTCTCTGGGGGGTAATATACCAGTCTCCGGCTGAGGTTCCGGCATTTTGGCGTATGTCACCAAAGTTTTACAATCGATAACAGTGCGTAAGAAGGCGTCTTTTGTTTGGATCTCTACCGCGCACTCCATGTTGTTAGGGTCCACCGGTGACCCTTTTACACTCAAAGGATCAACAAAGGATGAATTAGTGATACACACTGTCACGTTCACCATAGTCGCGTTCGTCGTCACCGTCTTGGTGATGTAAGATACGGTACCGTTCACGGATGATAAAGTCTCTGTAGTTACTGGTACTGTTACTGACCTTCTCGCTCTATATAATGGCACAGGACTCCTTACAGCATCCGTGGGCATGCCGTAGATGCTTGGAATAGTGGGCGAGGGAGTACTCTGCACTGCTATTAACATAGAACCATCTGGTCCTATCGTGATTTTCCCATTCGCCAGAGACAACATTTCATCTAACGAAAGATCAGAAAAGTTGATTTTGTCATAATTTATCAAAATATCACTTGATTTCTCAGTCGTTGTTGTTGAAGGTTTCTCTGTAGATGTTGTAGTCACTGGCACTGTATTTTTGGTTATAGTTGTTGTACACTCGGTTTTGTTAACTTGAGTTTGTTGCGGTGGAGTCACTTTTTTACTATCTTGAGTAAAGGTTGAAACAATTTCACACGGAATTTTTAGAGCATCCTCGCGACCGTTTTCTTTTACTTTCAGTACGCAATTCGCTTCATCTTGAGGCTTGCTTTGTGGTGTGTAGGTGGAGTCGTATGATGGGGAATTGTACCTGTGTCTGTAGTAGTCGTCATAATAGTAATGGTTGTGGTAGTGGCTGTGCGAGCGACCGAGGTTGTACAGCGATAAGCCAGTCAACAAGTCTCCGTAACGACTGTTGGAGCTCCTGTAATCTTGGATGTACACGTACTGTGGCGTAGAGTAGTATGTTGGCACTGAGTGTGGCGCGTTAGTATGGTAGTAATGATGATTAGACGTAGGTCTATAACTAGATGATCCAAAGTGCCACGTAGATCCAGAAGACGAGGGGGAGTATTTACTACCAGAGCCGTATCCAGATAATCCAGAGGACGAAGAAGGATATGTGTGTGAATTGGACCCATATCCAGATAATCCTGATGACGACGAAGGGTATGAATGTGAGCCGGAGCCATAACCAGATAACCCAGAGGATGAAGAGGGATATCCGTGTGATCCTGATCCCGAAAGTCCTGATGATGAGGGGTAGCTATGTGATGACGATGAAGAGCTTCCCCAATGACTTCCTGATGAGTGACTTGAGCCCCAACTGTGTCCGGAGCTGTGACTTGAGCCCCAACTGTGTCCGGAGCTGTGACTTGATCCCCCTCTGCTTCTACCACCACTCCTTCCCCCGCCTCTCCTACATTCAATATAGTTTACAGTCAAACACGAAACTAAGAGGCACAACAAAAATATTCTGTTGGCCATTATACGTGACGTTATTGAGCGAGTGCTCAGACGAGTTTGATCGTCCTACCGTTGATTGGTTTTATTTAAAACGAGTCCGTGTGACTGTGTGTGTGAGCATGACGTCAGCCAGTATTCAGAGAATCTCGTTTGCTTGTGCAGATAACAGATAAGTAAGGGTAGAAGGTGAAGTAAATATCAAAATAATTCATACAAATACATGAATTACTTTTACTTTATTTAAAGCGTTTAAGTTACTGTTGTAACTTGTTGCTGTTTGAATATCGCGTCAAGCAAAAAGGTATATATTTCATTTTTACAGGATGCAGTGATCCTCCGACCTTTGCATTCAGTTACTCCAGTCCTTTTAGCGTCCCTTATTGCTGATCCTTCTATTGCGACCCATTCTCATTCACACCTGAATTTATTAACACTATTTTAATAGTTAATACGCTATGACTCTATTTTAACAATCAAAGTAAACATTTACCTACCTACTATTGTCCACCATTAAAAAACAAATTAACTAACCTAACCTCAAGTTGAAGTTGAGGCCCAATCCCTCTCTCTCCCCCCATCCCTTCCAATTCTCAAATATCCAAAACCTTGTCCCTTAAAGGCCGACGCACTCGTGACTCCCTTGGTGTTGCATGGGCGGCGCTGATTGCGTCATCATCATCATCATCATCATCATCAGCCTATAAGTGCCAACTGCTGAGCAAAGGCCTGTTCTCATACGGAGAAGGGTATATAGAACATTAATCACCACGCTTGCTCAATGCAGGTTGGCTGATTGCGTGTGCACGTTTGCCGACCTATATCATAAAAAAGTTACCACTTGTTAAAAATTTCCCTTTAAAGCTCTCTTATGTTTTGAGAAACTCGACTGTGTTTGTGTCGTCAACAATGACTCATGCGCACGCCATGAATGACGCGTGACGTACTTTTATCTGACGTATACTATTAAGCCAAGTATTTTCATAAATAACAGCAGAATTCATTATCAATTACATAATTCGCCGAAACTTTACCTAAATAAATAATAAAATATTGTTTCGTTTTGTTTTGTAAACAAAAGATTAATTCTTAAGACAAGGTATACATATACATATTTAAAACCATAGTATTTTATACAAAAATAATAATACGCTAATTAAAAATCCAACTGCAAATAAAATACGAAGGAATATAATCCAGTAGTGTAGGGGCGATATGTCCTGTTATGAAGGTATGGAGCAGCGAGCATATTGCCCCAAGCTTCGAATTGAAGCAGGTGGTTTCTGGAGATGATTGCTTTTGAAAGTAAGAAGGTACTACTTTCGTATAGCAACAGTCGAGGACCAAACAACCTTATGGCATCACTGCGGTGACATCTCGCCATTAGAACGGATGAAGAATTGCCAGATATTTCAAATTCAACAAGCTGTAGAAGCTAATAAATAAAGGATCATACATACATATACCAACAAGCGTAGTAAAAACATAAACCTCCTTTAGCAGTCGGTTCAAAAAATGGTGACCAACTTCTTAATCGCTGATGGAGATGAATCGAGACATCTTACAGTCATTTACAGGGTCACTACACTCGTAAAATAGCACCCATTTCACTTTAACAAAAAGATATAAAACAATCTCAACGCTTTCAGCCCTAATTTGTAAAGTTATGGGCGAGTTTGATAGAAAAAAATGAGGTTACAGAAAGTGATAAATGTTTATCGAATTTAGCTCCCCTAGTATCGAGGTGTGTAACTTTATTCGATTGAAAGTGTTTTCATTGTGAGTATTGTTTAATAATTTGTTTGGGAGAGCCAAGCTTCGACACGAATGTGTTGGTTCGATTGGGATACCACGGCTTCACCGAAAACCGGCGCAAAATAATTACAACGTTGTGTTTAGCAGTGTGAGTGAAGTTATCAGAGACCCAATCTCTTTCCAATCCTTTAATATATATAATACCCTTATTCCCAAAAGGCCAGCAATAGACTCGTTTGGTGTTGTGGGTGTCCAAGGGCCGATTGCTTACCATCACGTAATCCGTCTACTAGTTTGTCCGGCAAATTAGCAGACGGATAAGTCGGCAAACTTTGCCAACTTACCCAATAAAAAATGTAATTACGACATAAATGACAATTAATTACTTTTCTACGTCGTTTTTATTTTAGAGGTCGTAATTAATCACCCTTAATGAAGTGTAGGTTTGGGTCTCGATATATTTCAGAAAGGAATTACGTCTGGTAAAGAACCTTTGGTGTAAAAATACGTAAGTTTGGATAATAAACACTAGAAGAATGGAATCGGAAAGAGGGACAAGAAATAATTACAATCCTCTAAAATAATTGTGTCCATGTCATCCTAAATATGAGATTTTCTCAAGATCGACTTATTAGTATTACATAATTGCGTTATGGCTATTTACACGTAATAAGTTTGTCTGGCGGGGCCATACTTTATGACACTCTGGAGGCGAAGGACGAGCCACTCGAACCGCGCGCCCTAACCCTGATTAAGTTGACTTTTGGCTTTCTCAAATATAGTTACTTAAGTAGATAGGTACATACATACTGTATATTCATAAGGGACTTTGTCGACGCGTGTCCCTTACTTATACCTACATACAAAATAAGTAAGTACCTACTCACTCAGATGTACATTTTTACAAGATAACCGTTTTCTACATCATTAGTCTGAGTAGGATTTTCCCGAAACGGCAGATTTGGGAGCCTAGTGACCATTCTTTCTTTTTGCTATACAAAAAGAATTGTAATCTTGAATCTGAGTTCGTTTTTTCTGACCCACTCGGGGCTTCTATACATATTTGATTCTTCAAATCTACCTTTCTCCTTGATAGTAAAAAGCTGCTGTATACATTTAATTTCTTCTAAGTACAAAAACACTGGCAACGGTGCAGGTATGAGATTTTCATTAGGGGATTTCATTTTATTACATAGAGTTAATTTGAAATAAATGCGAGAAGTTTAGTGTAATTGTAGTTACGTAACCTCAAATTTCAGACACAATTTAACATGATCTTAGAAGAACTAACAGATCACAATTTTTTTATTACGGAGTCTTTAATAGATAGTCGCAGATGACAAGGGGATTTCAACTTAATTTTAAATTCAGGACAATATAATTTTGATTATCATAATATACCTAACATTTAACCTCGTTTCTAGTTATACCAAGCACTGTTAAGCTTGGTGTGAGAATCGATTAGCCTCAATATTTCGCCACCTTCCCTCACGGACCGCCTTTATGAAGGGAATGTGCCTATCGTTTATATCAATTTTATCCATGTAATAAACGCAATAGACTGCCTATAAAATTCATAATGGCCCCGTTTTAGGTTTCCGTGAAACGTTAAAATTGGAACAAAATTTCATCAGAATGATTTACGACAACTACATTGGATTGGATTAGGAATTTTCCCTCTTTTTGTTTAAGATCTTAGTTGGATTATACAAATTGATCTTAATGTTTATAAGTTTTGAAAAGATCGGCTAACTTTAGACTCTCTTCTCTTTTAACTTTAGTCTTCTGCAACCCTATACAGCATAAAAATGTTGGTTGTTCTCTTATCGAAATACTTGATAAAATAAGCCTATTAACCTACAAATCCCACAATACATTGATCCAATCACGATTTCGATTTGTAAATATGATATGACGCGATTATCGCAAATATGGACTCACCCTAAGGCCTAGTGACCTCTACATCGATATTAAGGGCCATGTCGTCGGGCTGACCCTTATTACCCACTTCCCTGGCGCCATTCTATTACACAGGGTTGCTAGACCGAAAACAAGGTGGGAATTTCGTAATAGAAAAATCCAATAATAACATTTTATCTGATACAATGTAGCGGGCTGTTGCTGTTTGATATAGGTTTGATGTTTCCCACCAAGTTTCCCACAAATACTTGTGACGCCATTGCCGGATTTTTGTTAGCATTTGGAAAACTGTTTTGTAGATATAAATTTACCACCAATTGGTTGTTCGTATCTGTAATTTATAACATAATTTTTAAGAATTTGGTAAAACGGGAAAGAAACCAGAGCAAAAAGGACCAAGTCCTAAGTGGCAATGTCATCATGCTCAAGAGGAATGACTGTTTAAATCTGGGAATCGCCAAGAAAAAAACGTTCATCATTAGAGCCCAGAGACTGTATGGTACTAAGAAGAAAATTGCCTACATTTATCAACTAGAACGAAACCAAAAAGTTTTAACAGAACCGAGCCTATAAAAGTGATACACAGTATGTACAAAAGCACTGATTACAATGTATTCCCGTAACTACCCAAGGAAATCTCAAAGTTACATTTCTTTCGCCATTTCACCTCCCTTGTGGCAAAGTTTTCTTTTACTTCACTGAAAGGAGGTTAGCCATCGGAAAGATACATTTTATACTAAGTACAGTTACATTATAACCTAGGTTATTCCCAAAGGGTTAGAGAAATGCCAATAATTTATAAGTAACTTACGCATTAAGTCCGCCCATTTACCTACTGTGCATAAAGTGTAAATAAAATAAAATATGTCATTAGAAGATTTTTAAATATCAAGGTACCTTTGAGTATGACACCTATACCTACTAAAACAATTTTTATTGAACTTACTACATATACTTTGACCATAACTAAAATAAAGCACAGGAAAGAGAATAATTGAAGACCGAGGTACATAAGTGGTTTGCTTTTGGAAAAGCCAGCAAGTCCAGGAAATCACGAAAACGGAAACGGTGCTATCAATAATGATGATGAAGTCCAGTTAAGCGTTTAGATAGGTACTAATATAGTCTTTTCATTACACAATACTAATTATGATGTAGAAATATTTTGTACTGGCCCGGAGGTTACTGTGCCGCTTGAAGGCGGCTTCGAAAGTGACAAGTAGGTACCAATGTGATGTTTTCATCATGTTTATTTAGAACAATAAGTTTGAAATCGTCAATCCGGCTTGAGCTAGCGTAGGGAAATCGTACATATTGATTAATACTCAAATCTTCTACTGCAGTAACTCAATTATAGCCTAATCTTGTAATGTACACGATTTCAAATTGCTTCACTAAAATACGGTAAAACGGGGTGAATAGAATTCCTATAGATGATATATTCCTACACTTTGGAACGAGCAAATAGCTTCACTAAGAGGACTGACCGACAGACTGACACTGTATCTTCAAAATTTTTGTTTGACGTTCCAAAGTGCCTGTAAAGGTCTAATTGGAAAAAATGATTTTGACTTTGACTTTGACACGAAAGAGGGGTGAACAGATACTAGGAAAATTCGCCAACATCTATTCACTCCTTTCGTGTGATTCACCCCTCAAAATTCAAATTTCACTCCAATCACACACAATCACACTCAAAATTCACCCCGTTTTACCAAATCTTATTATTTTCATAAGAAAAACTGATGACTTACACATGTTTGTATTTGGTACTAAATCTTTAATGGAAGTTTCCCTTGAATAACTGTGATGTAGTGTGCCTTTTTGATTAGTTCATTAGTAGCAGTTTTACGAGTGTTTGTCCAAGGAAAATAACGCAACGCATAGGGGGCTGAGGCGTCCCGTGACGTCAGCGACCGTGACCCAGTCCGCATGCTCCTACCCTGAACACAAACACACGAGCATGCTATAATGTAAGTTATATTATAACATATGAAAATGCCTCGTAATGAAAATCTAGGGCTGCCAAACGTAGTTGTAGAGACCATAAGTAAATGCAACAATGTCAACACGACAAGTGTTATGGAGCTCGAGAGACGATCTCCGGCCACTGTAAGCGCGGGTCTGCGGACGGCGAGTAAGGGTAACTCGCCGCCCGACCAGAACCAGACCCGAGCGTCGGCATGTAGCGTTCTGTGCGCGCCTCAAAGAGCCAATAGACCACCATAGACGGGGCCCTATAGGGTTGATGTTCAGCCGGGGTTGCGGGGCAAGCTCAATGAGGCACCGCAGCCTCGGTCCAGAGCAGGAAAAGAAACGGGGGTTTTTAGTCATTAAGAGTGTGACACTCCGTCCCGCGTCCCGCCCGACCCTGGGTGGGAGAATTCCTTTGATGATTATCCACTCACAAACATAAAGTGTAATGAAACTACTGTTTATAAATATATACCTAAATTGTACCAACAACTTCGCAAATTTATTGATTTGATTTGGTTACTTACTGCGGTATTTGACTAAGCACAGTTGGATACCTATTTGTTGAACTTATGCCTATCTTTTCCGTCACATAATTTCTATCAGCTTTCAAAATTGCTAAAACGTATTTACTGTTAAAATTTATGCAGACATACAAAGTCTTCGTTAACAACAATTCTGTCTATTTGAAAGGGAAAATGAACATTTTAATGTTAAACAATAAGGTGAAATCTCCTTTTGTCCCCGTCGCGTCTTTGTTGCGCATATTTAGGAAGTCGATTTTAAGTCGGGAACTCGGTTGAACAAATGGTAGGGGAGATCGCAGCCTCTGTGTAAGTGGGTCAAGGATAGAGTAGGTACATTGTAGACATTTTACAGTCATAGTATTACCCTCGCCAACCATTATTACAGTGTCAGTTCCTACCTCTATAGTTGGTGGATGGAGGGAGTTAAAATGATTTTGTTAACCACAGTCTCATGGTTGAAACTGTGTGAACAATGATGGTTCCTTTTAAAACTATGAACCTTGCCGAATACTTTTCGTTTTAAGGGTACAATACTATCGTAAACATTCGATAAGTATTTCGTTTTAGTTATTTTCGTTAGAGGCTTTAATATTGTGTTCAGCAATATTATATCTCCTTATCACAAAAGTACTGGGCTACCTACAGCAGGTTCTACTTTTTAAGGGGCATGGCTACTTTAGTAACAATAAAAAAATATACATTTTGCACACGGACTAAAACTGAAACACGGTCTTTATTCTCAGTTGATGTTATTATCAATAGGATGTCCTCAGAACTATTGTTGGCTCGTATCGATATTTTAACCGACTTCCAAAAAAAGCATATACATACATATATCTAACAATGTGGTAGTAGTAGAAATCTTTATTTCAAGCTCAGAGCTCATAAACGGTTAGTTACAATTTTCTTATAGGTAGGTATAACTAGAGTTAGAACAATGACTGTGTAATGGCAATTTACTTTCTCAGCCTCACTGTTCCCGTGGTAGCAGAATTAGGTAGGTACTGATTGCATTTTTTTTCTTTGTAAGACAGACAATCGGAAAAATGTTTTAATATTACTTAGATACGTGTACCTATCTAATAAATGGGTGCAGAGTAAGTTGGTACGTTTATGTGATAAAATTGCAAACAAGACGACAGTTTACAGAAGACAAGAAGCTGTTGCCGCCGCCCTCGGACGCCGCAAGACCCAGAGGAGTTACGAGTGCGTTGCCGGACATTCAGGGATTGGGCTTTCGGAGATTAAAAAATTGGGCGAAGAAGAATGATTGGACCTCTGGCATCGGTAGATACTCGTACGTATCTATGTTGATATCTAGTCAAAACTGAAAACCAACAACTTTACCTCCTTTGGTAACGCGGCCCTCGCTTAACTTCCTACTCAAACGACGCTTACCGCTTTCGGAATGAATAAGGTATACAGAATGAACTTTATAAAACACTATGAGCATCAGCTTTGTATAAAATTAAACCTTTGTGTACATAACGGACTTAAACAGTTTGCTCTAGCACTAGACAACTAATTAAAACAGCTTTTACACAAAATCCCTCAGCCGTGATGAACCCCCCAAAGTAATTTCGCATTCAATTTAGGTTTGATGTCGAAGCGAAGGTAAATTTAAACAATATAGACAGACGAATTGTTTATTACGCCAGAACCTTTCCGTGTTGAGAGAATAGGACTATAGGTATCACTGTATCTTTAGCACGAATAGTTCGGCCTCGCAGATTACCTACCGGCGTGGAGCAAGCAACTCTTACGTTGCGTATTGTCGTGTGGATTAGGGTACTAGGCCCTAATCTCCCCCTCCCCTCCCCCCCGACACATGACACCCAGACCTGGAATAGCAAATTGTATCTACCTATTGAAATTGTATGTTTGTACGTGTCGCGAGACATTGACACACACACACACACACACTAAGTAAAATCAAGAAGTGAAGAGGGACTGTCTCACTCATAGATATAAGAAAATTTCTGTGGTCTCACTACACTACTATTCTTACTGATCTAAAATGACACTGACCAGGGTTTTTATTTATGTTTTTATTAGACACCAAATGTCTAATCTAACTAAAAATTTCGTTTCGTTCCTTCTTCTGTTCTAAGCCGAAGCCGCGGTGCCTTTTAGCGCTTGTCCCGCAACCCCGGCTGAACATCAGTCCTATAGGGCCCCGTCTGTGGAGGTCTATTATCTCTTTAAAGCTTGCACGGAACGCAACGCGCCGTACGCTCGGGTCTCATTCTGGTCGAGCGACGGCGGCGAGCTACTCTTATCTACTCGCCGTCCACCCGTTGTACCCGCAAACCACGGCTGTTTTTTTTTTGTATTTAATAAACTATACCTTCAAGGAACACACACTCCAGCACTCCTTAGCAATTCTAATTTCGTTTCGTGTGTATGGGTGGGATATCCACCATGAAGCGATGATGTTTTGCTGATTTAATCTATTATAACTGAATATTCAGAAGGTAATAAGTGAACAATTTCTTTCTTAAAAATGCTGTACTCATCCCACAGGATGACGTCATCACCTGCCAGTACCAGCTCTACCTCCTGCTCCTTTGGTAATGGAACTTATGGAGATCCTCATTTTTAAAACATAATTGTATTGTATTTGTTACCTTATTTTATGCAAATCTATTTATGTGTAAAGAACCGTGTTTGTTTCTTCCATTTTCTTTCCCCTTTCATTTTGTTCTAGGACTCTGTGTCCTTGCTTTGCACCAGCCGCAATATAAATAATCTTGTAACAGTGAGCTTTTAAATCTTATATTGCTTCTCATTGGAACAGCACTACATTGTATAAAACAAAGGCGCTTTCTCTGTCCCTTTATTCCCTATGTATGATTAAATCTTTAAAACTATTAACTTTTTCGTAAATAGTGATTGATAGGGAAGGTTTATATTATAACAACATCCATTTAATACTGGAGAAATTTTGCATCAGCATTGCCCCCATGCGAAGGCAGGGTGAGTTGCTAGTGGAGATAGAAAAATAAAACAAAAAACTAAAACATCCAATGCTTATGTTAATCTATCAAATCTATGAATAAATCTAGTTTTATATGTACACTACAATCCAGTTTAAAGCACTCTAGGCTAGGCCTTCCCTTTTCTTCCACTCACTTTTTAACTGTGCCATTTTCTTCTTCTTATATTCTGTTTTTTTAAACTTATTACTTTCTAATCTTCTCTTTTGTGCTGTGACACTGTCTTCTCCATTTAGCTCTTCATCTAACTTAGCAACCAGCATCTCACGGGCTCTTTTCCTATTTTCATCTTGACATCTACTTGTGTGGCATTTTATCACATGACCTGTAAAATGTTAAAAATAATTATTACATAAAATCACTCCCAAAAAATGTTCTAGTATTTTTTATATTATAATTAATACCTGTTGGAATATGTGTAAGAACAACACAATTTGCATTTTTGTTGACAGCAGAACCACCAGGTCCACTTCCTCTAACAAACTGTTCTGACAAATCACTTTCATTGATTTTAGGGACCTTAGAATAATCTATTGTGTGTTTGAATGCCGCACACACCCGGGACGCAATACCCACATGCAGACGGCACAGTGGATTAAGCAGCATTTTACACAACTGAACCACGACGCAACAGAGCTTCTCCTTTCTGAAATTAATTAAATTAACAGATAAGTATTCATACTACTATATTTAATGTGGAATATAGGTTGCATGTCTGAATATGTTGTGATCAAAATGATATAGTTACAGCAAAACTTTTATACACTCACTCAACAACTAAATCTCAAAAGGGTCATGTATGAGTATATACCGACATGACCAGATGCTTCAGTTTCCTCATCCCAGCATCTTATAAATATTCGCGAAATACTGGCCTATCAATAATAGATCTTCAATAATACAAGAAACCAATTAACATAAAGCTTTATAATACAATTATATTGACCACAAATATTGTGTAATAAGTAGGTTCAATCCCTTACCTGGTATGCAAACGAAATATCTTTAGCGTTAGTTAGAGATTTATTATTACGAAATTCCGTGGCCACTCTCCGTCTAAAGTACGCCGGATCAGTGAATGTCAGGGACTTAGAATACAACATAAGATTCTTGTATAATTTAAGGATCTCTGTTCTTGTAACTTGCATGGTAACAAAACTATGACGGCAAGCGTCAACACCTCAATGATTTCATTAGGTCCTAGTTTCCTTTATTTTAACCTATAATTCTGCAAGTCCTAAATTGTAAAAAAAATATGTCAATGTCACAAAGTCACAATCAGACAGTGTCACAGTTTTGACATGGAGGAATTAATCTATGGTGTAAGGAAACTGACAATTTGTATTTTGGCATACTGATAAACGTCAAAGAAACAAAATTTTATTATTGTCTTTGACCGATAACAAATAAAAAAAAATAAAATAATGAGTAGATCCGTTCGGTGCGACTAGAATATTTAACATTAATTATTCGTCTTCTTCACATAATTAATCATAGGTATACGAGAGACATAGACATATACCTAGCTTCACGGAAATACTATTTACATATACCTAAAGTATTGTAACTCGGTTACATTTCTACACTAATATTCAGTGCCGGCGTAAAGGCCACTGACACCCCGAGCGAAAATGTTGTGGCGCCCACTTGAGGGAAGCAATATCAAATGTAAAATTGATCTGACCCCAAATAAAATAAAATTCTTATAAAAAATATGCATATGCACAGAGCTGGACAGAGGCAAGAGACTCCAACTTCAGACCTTGGCGCCCCTAGAATTTGTCACCCTGGGCCATATTATAAAGTTTGTAAAATTGTATGTACGGGGTAATCTTTGGAACCGCTGCTCGGATTTCCAAAATTCGGATTTATTCATTGATAGGTAGCTACAATATTCCTGGGTGCCGAGCAGCGGGTGAAACCGCGCGAGAATAGCCAGTTTTAAATAAATGCCTACTGTTGCTCGGTACGTAAACATACGACAGTGCTACCTCCCTTAGTTGTTGTTCTAGTTTCCCTAAAATCTAATGACACACAGAATATCTCTTTTTTCATACATAATTATTATTCATACAAACGTACTAGATAATAAACAAATACCTATTATAAATAATAAAATACCACGCCTTTACCTACTTTGAATTTGAATTCTACAACTAAAAAAATATACAGCGAAGTTTTATATAACATAATTATATATAAGAAGTATGTAACATATAATTACGCGGGTATAAATGCGAAAAATAATTATTTTAATACCTTGGTAGGCTTGACGCTTCGACCTGGTTGCACAGGTCGTGGTCGCAAGTAGACTGAAGATGCGATGTCACGGCTCCCTGCATTCGAGCGAAAAATTTTCATCTATCCCCTTATTTTCCTTTTTATCTACAAAAGGAAAATAAAAGTAGGTAATTATACGTTGTAAATATGAAACGCGAAAGTCTATAAGTTAGTATAACAAGTATTTACCTTATCGTAATTCATTCAAAACCGTCTACAGCTTCCTATTTTATTCGTCTCAATAATTTTCCCTTGCTCTATCCGCTTTATTCAATAATCCAAAACACCTTTTTGCATGAAATAAAATGAAATACATAAACATTAAAAATACTCACACACATAAGTACATTTACACATATACATGTATATACTTACCTAATAAACTGTGCTAAAAGTAAGTAATTATTTTACAGCATCGATCACTAATAAAGAACTTATTAGTGATCGATGTTTTACAGTTATGTATTTAATTTAAAAATCTCATTTCTGGTTTCTGGGTAATTGATAAAACAAAAAAACATCACAATATTTCCTACTGGTCATTTAATTAAATATGTACGGTACCTGAACTATTTTTTACAAAAGAATTCGCGCGGCACACCTGCCTTTCGTCATTGTAGCTGTCTGCGTTCCGAGCGCACCCCGAGACCGAGGTAGGCGAAGGCATAGCTTTTCCATATATAAAAAGGACTTTGTGGCATAGCTCGCGTTTCGTCCGTTTGTATGCAGTTGGAATACGTCAATGATGACTTCATAATATTACCGTGCTGCTAGCGTTTACTGGGAATCCCCAGAACCCTATTGAAATGACAGTCAGCTGAGTTTAGTGATGTAGATTCTACTGAAATATCGATGATCAATCAATTAATTTGTCATCGATTATTTCTGACTCAAATTTTAATTATACATTGATGAAACTCTAATTTTTCTAGAAAACAAAAAAGTTTGTTACTTCGAATATTTAGATAAAACAATTTTAATTTGATTGATTTACTCTAAGTAAGCATATTTGTATTTTTATTTTACCGGTGTTGATTAATATTTCGTCTGCCGGTAATGAGACACAATAGAAAACATATTACCACGGCTTCATTAAATCAAAGATAGACTAATGTTAATGTGAGTATACTTAATAAATGTATTCAAACTCGATTCCTATATCTCAATTCCTTCAGAAGTAATCAATGTCGAGTTCGAGTATCGTATCGCATCACTACTATTGTCATCAACGTTATGAAAACAACACTCAAGTTGAATAAAATATTAATATTTTCCTGGTCAAAGGTAGATAATAATAAGTACACTATATTTTATGATGATTTCATTTTAATGTCGTGTGATCTAATTGTGTCGTAAAATTATATTTATTAAAGTTTAATTATCTAACGTGAAATCGTAAATAAACCAGAAAATGTTGTCTCTAGACTCCGTTAACACTACACCACAAAGAATGGAAGTGGAAAATGTTATTGGTAACAGTGATATTACGAATATTGATATGATGTCAGAAATTGAAAAAGAATTACAAGATAATCCCTGTGACTTGATATCTCTTGTTTTTCTTCTTTATGACGTACCTGACACAGCTCTCCAACGTCTAATTATATTTCAACGAGTTTCCAACGATGCCTCTAATTCTATTAATCTTAACATGCTTCACGAATGGTTTCGACATGCTAAGCACAACCCCAACTGGAAACATGAATTTGTTGAAGCTCTCCTTACCTGCCAGCTATACAGCATTGTCAGGAAACTGGGACTGAATGTCAATGCAGCACGCAAGTACTATCAAACCGACTCCATTACTGTAAAAATGTACCTAAACCCTATGAAAAAAGCCTTATACAAATTATGTGAAAGCATTACTTCTGACAATCTTTTGAAACTTAAAAAAGCTCTTCTTACTTTTGGAATTGACACCACTGAATATGAATCCTGCGAACAAGTTTTCTTAAAGCTCATGTGTGAAAAATTTATAAAAATAAATCAATACCAGTACAGTAAAAAAGTTCTGGGCTCCAGAGTAGAAGTAGATAAACTTGTCAAGATTCTAGAAAACCTGTCTGGGTTAAAGAAATTAGTTTTAGAGATAAATATATTGCAACAATCATTAAATGATGAACACAAACCAAGTGTCTCAGTTGCTACCAGTACTCCGATAGTGAAACATATGAAAGTAGATGAAACTAATCAAGAAAATGCTGATGACAATTTATACAATATTGACTTTGAAGATGTGTTTGAAATGCTAGGAGAATTGCAGCTGGATGAAATAGCACAGAATTCTCTAAAGTCTGATAGAAAGCTACTGGACAATGATAGCTATGAAATTAAGAGTAACAAAAGAGTTGGAGTTTGTGTCATCATAAATCAGGAAACATTTTATCCTTCTAAGACCAGCATTGAGTTAAACGGACAAAATATTATACCTGATACAAGAATTGGCTCTGACAAGGATAAGATGATTTTAGAAAAGACCATGAGTGAATTAAATTTTACTGTTTTCTCCAAAACTGATTTAGACCATAAAGAGATGATGCAGTTCATAATGGCAGTTGTCAAACATAAAGTCCACAAGAATGACAGTATTTTTATGCTGTGCATACTATCTCATGGAGTAAAGGGCCAGGTATATGCAGCTGATTCTGTCAAAGTTAAAATGGATGATATTCAGAATTTGCTAGACTCTGATGATGCTGCTAATATACACAACATGCCCAAGCTTTTAATAGTCCAAGCTTGCCAAGTTGATGAAAATACTCCTCAGATTTTAGTAGCTGACAGCCCAAGAGATTACAATTTACGGAAGTCTAACTTCTTAATTTACTATGCCACTGCACCTGAACTTGAGGCTTACAGAAATGAAAAAAGAGGGTCTATATTCATACAGGTTCTATGTCGAACAATTAGAAAGTTTGCAAATTCGGAACATGTCTATGATATTTTTACTAAAGTCAATAATAATGTGAATTTCATTTGCAAAAAGGTGGGATGTACACAAGTGCCTCTATTTCAGTCAACTTTGACAAAAAAACTTTACTTACAAGTTCCTAACAGTTAGGATGAATCATAGAAAAGTATAATCTTATAATGTTGTTACCTATGTCCTTTATTTAATTATAAATCAAAGACTTTAAAGGTACAGATACTTATTACATAAATAAAAAAAAAAACTATAAAAAAGCTACTGAAAGTTTAACATAATATATGTTGAGTAGGTACATTAAGACTAAGCAAATTTATACACTTTTATTATAAAAACAAAAAAAAAACATCCTATAATAAATGTAACCAAGTACATTATGTATATTTTTGTAATTAAATTAAATTGATATTTATGTATTTGTTCATTATTTTTATTATATGTCTGTAAACACATCCACTACACAGGAGAAATTACTAGAGTGGAACAATTTTTGAAAAAGATAATATTCAGATTAGTTTATTGTACCTACTGTAGTGTTGGTTGAGTTTCTATCTTAGGTTTGACTTACAGGTAGGCATGGGACTCACTTTTTCATACCAATAAATAGTTGAAATGCGCTAAATATAATATGTTGATACAACATATTACTTATCTTAAAAATATAGGTATCTATTTTAAACAATTTTCATTTTTTAAGTTTTTTGAAACAAAAAAATATAAATAACTATAGGCATTGAAAAATAAAACAAATGTTATGTAATATTTTCTATATTTATAGCAACATCAGTTTTTGTATAGTCCAGGACGGCAGCTTCTAACTTTTGTCTTTCTTCATCCGTTTTTAATTTGCACCACATAGTATCTAAATAAGTTCTCTGATGCTTTTGTATGAACTTGAAACTATGCTTAAGAGTGGCACCCACATGTAGTGTATTGAGCCTAACATCAAGATTACCTATTTTAGTAATAAATGGAAGACTACTAGTAACGAACCTATGTGGTCCATGTCTTGATCTTATGATCCCTATTCTCGTATGTTCGTTGCAATATTTTGTTAGAAATCCATTTGTTACACTTACAGCAGCAACACCAAAATCACCATGCATCTGCTGAATTTTACTTAAAATAGTGTCATGGAATATTTTCGGTTTTAGCTGCAATGGTTTGTCTTCTGGAACTAAAGGAGCTACTATCTCAACAGTTATATATCTGAAATTAAATAATAAAAAAAAATTAACATTTACATGATTGTTCTTGAGCACATGATTTCGTAATTTAGGTTACTTAGAAGCCAGTGCTAATGGGTTTATCAAATTATAAAATAACCTACCTATTTTTAAAACGAACCATGGCTATTAGACTTCATCAAGAAACAGCTTTAAAAAATTTGAAATTTTAAATTTAACACAACAATCGCGGCGGTGTAAACAATAACAACAGGCAGAATTGACCACAGATTATCTAATAAATAGAATTGACAATTTAAGTGACAAACAAATGATTGACAAATTAGTATTAGTGTAAAAGCAATTATTATTTTATATGGTAATCCTGAATTCTGAGTAAGCCCTAAACTACAAGCACATAGTAACAAAAAATGTTAAAAAAAGTAAAAAGTTTAAAATCAATTTTAAAGGTAAAAAAAATCCTCGTACAGTTAGTCATGTATAATTCATTCTTTCCGTATAATTGATATTGGCTTTTAGGACTTTAGAACAGATATCTTAAAAGAAGAATTCATTTTGGAAACCTTTGACTTTTATATACTTACGCAATTTTATGTTCAATAGTGGGTTTGCTTGTATTTCTTCAAAAGTGTCATTAATCAGACTATGTGTGTAATTGTTGAACTGTGTACACTGCCCTTCATAATTGTCATCTTTCAAGAACAACGCGACTATGACATGCATCTTGTGACGTTTCCGATTTATCGAGCAAAATATGTAAAGCGGTAAATTTTAAATTCCCAGTTTTATAATATTTATTTATTTAAATCAAATCATACCTGTTTATTGGATATGAAAACGAAGAATATAATAGACAATTTTCTTGTTTTAACTTTGTTGTCAAAAGAAATACAATTTAATGTTTCTCAGTTATTCGGAACCTTGATGGCTATGGCAATGATAGTTATAAAAAAGTTCAAAGGACAACAAGGTTATCTCGTGAGACTAAGTTTTATTACTTGATAAAGTAAAACAACAACGCCAAGGCCGTTTTATAAATTGCTTCCATTCATTGTTAGTTCGATATTCACTCTTGAAACGTATGTATTTTTTGATCTGGTGAATTATTAAATATTATTATCCTCGAGTTCTTTTGATGATAATATTTATTTATTACCAAATAAATTATTATTTTCTTTTCCAGCATTTTTCCCACTTCCAAATGAGCAAAGAGATTTACTTCATTGGCGTCGATGTGGGGTCTGGCAGCGTACGGGCAGCATTGGTTGATGGCAATGGTCATGTCCTCAATTCATGTGTTAAGGAAATTCAGACATGGAAACCTAAAGTGGATTATTATGAACAGTCATCCAAAAACATATGGGAATGCTGTGTGTTTGTCATTAAGGTAAGTCTACAACTTCTTGTTGATAAATCTTTTTAAATAACTGTTTAGTTGATGAAAATTTCCTCCCCCCACTACTATTGTTATGCAGATGAGAGGGAGGTCAATAGTGAATAATATTAAATCTTCTTTTTCAGAATGTTGTTGCAAATGTAAATCCTGCAAGTATTAAAGGTATTGGGTTTGATGCCACATGTTCCTTAGTAGCATTAGACAAACATGGAAATCCACTATCTGTCAGCACAAACAACAATGAACAAAATATCATTATGTGGATGGACCACAGAGCGCAGGCAGAGGCAGATTTAATAAACAAAACTAACCATGACATACTGAAATATGTAGGTGGAAAAGTGAGTCTAGAAATGGAAATGCCAAAATTACTCTGGTTGAAAAAGCACCTTCCAAATAAATGGGATGACTATGGATACTTTTTTGATCTACCAGATTTCCTTACATGGAGAGCTACTGGTTCATTAAGCCGTTCCCTGTGTTCTTTGGTTTGTAAATGGAATTATGAATGTTCTATTGAAGGAAAACAGGGCTGGAACAGAGATTTTTTACGAGAAATTGGATTGGAAGACTTAGCTGTCGATAATTTTAAGAAGATTGGTAGTAAAGTCCTAATGCCTGGTGAGCTCTGTGGTGGTCTAACAGATGAGGTTGCTAATTCTTTGGGACTGGAACCTGGTACTCCTGTTGCTACATCCATTATTGATGCACATGCTGGAGGATTAGGTATGATAGGCACACATGGTGAAGGAATAGATAAGGATATGTCATCACGCCTTGGTTTAATCTGTGGGACTTCTACATGTCATATGGCTGTGAATAAAAGAGCTGTCCTTGTCCAAGGTGTGTGGGGCCCATATTACAGTGCAATGGTTCCAAGCATGTGGTTAAATGAGGCTGGACAAAGCGCTTCTGGAATGTTATTGGACCATATTATAACCAGTCATCCTGCTGGTGCTGAACTACTTAAAGTTATGTCTCCAGGCGAGTAAGTTAAAACTAAATGTATAAAAAAAATTCTTTCATCTGGAATCATATCCAGTATCTGATAATTGATTATATTTGCAGTACCCGCAACCACTTGAGGGGCTTACTCATTAAAATGGCAAGATTGGAAGGACATAATGATGTCAGTTACTTGACTAAAGACATTCATGTGTGGCCTGATTTTCATGGCAACCGGTCCCCTTTAGCCGACCCGTCAATGAAGGGAATGATCTGTGGGCTATCTATGGACAATAGCGAAGCAAACTTAGCCTTACTCTACTTAGCTACTATGCAAGCTCTATCGGTGAGTAGTTCATAGTAAAGAGAAAATATAATTGCTTTATGCTAGAAATACAACTGAACCGTTTGTAGAAATGGTAAATAAAATGTCATTAAAGATAAGAAAATAAACTACCTACTTACCCATATCTTTATTGTCAGCATTATGAACTGATAAACATGCTATAATTTGAGCATTATATTTAATAACTTTAATGTTTGCCAACATTATCATTATTTCTACACCACTCTATATCGAAATACAGGTGTTTTAAATCCAGCATGGTATAATTTTAGGGAAAAGGACACTTCCCTTGCCCCTTTATTGACGAATACATGGACATGAGTATTTTTTTAATGATTTGTTTATTTGCATATAATTCAGTTGTAGTATATTGTTTCAGTATGGCACGCGGCATATTGTAGAGGCACTGGTTCTAGCAGGGTACGAGCCTTTTAAATCATTGCTAATTTGTGGCGGTATCACGAAAGATCCACTCTTCGTCCAAACTCAAGCTGATGCTATGGGTCTTCCCATTTTGAAGCCCCATGAAAAAGATTCTGTATTAGTTGGTTCTGCTATACTAGGCGCCTGTGCATCCAAGCACTTCATAAATGTGCAGGATGCTATAGAGAATATGGGTGGAACAGCAGATGTTATACAGCCTAATTTAGGCACTAAAGTATACCACGATAAAAAGTATAGGGTTTTCCTACGAATGTTCCAAGATCAATTGAAATATAAAACTATTATGACTTCAAATCTGTAACAAATTATTATTGTATATTTATTTATTATTTCGGATGCCAGGGTGATTTTTTAGTAAGCTGATTTATTAATCCTATCGTATGAATTCTATTGATTACAAATAAATATAAAATATTGTATGTTCCCTGTTCTTTTACACTATCCCCAAATACTGTGAGTTTACCAGACCCTTTCGTCGTGAGCGAGATCAGTGTGCCTAGCACGAACATTATCGAGAAAGTATTCGTATCGAGATCGAAAGCATTTTCTATGGGATTTGTACAGCGCCCCTACCGTGCGTAAAAGGAACTAAAAATCGCAAGCACGAATGATTTTGACAACTATCGTATAGTAATCGTATCGTGTTGCTATCGAAACTTAGAACATTTTGACGCAAATTGGAAGCACGAACGATCTTTTGACGTGTAGTAACGTAAGTTTCGAAGACTGGCTATCGAAAACTGTCGAAACATTTGTCACTAAGAATTTGACGGTGAGAAAGGTTTCGAAATATTTCAATCGTGTTTTAAATAATATATTATAATGTTTGTGAGTATTCTTTACGAGTATAACATCATGCAAAGACCGCCGCTGTACGAACCAAGTTGGAGAAATAGTTTATTTGTGGCTATTTTACTTGGAGATGAAGAGTCAAGAGAAACTTCGTAAGTACCTAAGTAACTACCTATTCAAGTTATGTTTCACTTAATATAGACATATGTATTCAAGAAAATAATACGAATTAACTGATTATTCTAGAGAAATCGTGTGCCGAGCTAAATTCAGAAAGATATCTAATCCAATGGATATCACTGAAACGTAGTTTAGAAATACTAGGTACCGCCTAAATAAAGAAGCTTTCAAGTACTTCTGTGAGCAACTCCAACAAAAACTAACCTTATAATGCTAAAATGAAATCAATAGGAGTCGAGCAGCGGGTGAAACCGCGAGGAAGTAGCTAGTATAAATTAGGTTTTCTAATAAATATTTTTTTACAGGTGATTCTGGCTACCCACAGCGACCATGGCTAATGACGCCTACTCATTTTGGATGCGGTAGAGGGAACTCCGGGCCACAATATACTGCAGTAAAAGAAAGAAGAGGCGATGCTTGTGCAAAGACCGCACTCTGCATTATGCTCCCGAAAAATGTGTTTGACAACGGCTTGTTGCATAATTTGGTCATAAATTTTTGCCTGAGCCACAGGTAGATACAACAACGGCTGAACAAGACTTGTCTCATACCTCATCTTCTGATATGAGACATGAAAATGATAGAAGCGATGATTTGATAAGTGAAAGGGCTTTAAGTAATATTCTGGTACAGCAAATAAATATACTACACAGATGACCCAAGTGTTTTATTATTATACATTTCCAAAACATCTTACACACTAATCTAACTTAAAAACTATTCTTACCTATGTTTTTATAATAGGTAACTATAGTGAGACATTTTAAATTTAATTCTAACATAATCTTTCCTCATTCCAAAATGTAGTAATTTAAAATAAAATATGTAAATATACATTAATCATCTTTTTAACTAGATTATATTTTAAAACATTTATTGCCTCTCTCATAAGTTCCAGCCACTGAGCCTGTAAAAGGAGCTCTGCCTTACTCTTCATTCTTCTCGTCGTAATTCCAAACGCTCTTGTTCCATTATATCATATGTTTCCTCACGCTCCCTAGCAAACTCCCTAGGTTTCTTATCATTCTCTAAACACAATTTGATTAAACTCCCTTTAGATTTTTTTTTCGGTCGAGGCTTCCAGCATTCCTTTTCTAATGAAGGATTGGCGACTGGTGGTGTCGGTGAACGGCTGGCTTCATGGGTACTGCGGAGTGGTCGGAACACTGAAGGCTCGCTGCTTGTCACTGGCATATTCCATGAAATCCACCATTAATTCGTATTGGAGCAGAGTCCTCCTCATTTTAAAATAAATTTAAACTAACCGCATAATAAGATAGCCGCATAATTATCTACAATCTTTGTTTTGTTTGTTAAAAAAAATACGTCAATAGCCATCAAACGTCACCTTTGTCAAAAGAACGTTCGGAAATCGTAAATTTTGTTACAAAATTTAAATAACCAAATAATATTTTTTTCATAGATAAAGTCATTTTATATACTTCTTGACTGGTTTTAAGAATTATTTCACGTAATTAATATTTTTTCATTTAAATATAATACCATAAAAGGGAGTCATTCGTGCTAGGCACTCAGGAATGACTATCGTAATCGTAACGTTAACGTATCGAGACGTCGATACTTCATGTGACGAAAACGGAATGTCGCAGCACGAAGCCTATCGTATCGTCTAGCGAGAGCTCGAATCGAATTCGTTAGTGACGTCATGCCAAGAATATTATATACAACACTGGATGTTGCACCAAGAAAAAAGAACTGAGGACTAATAAAATGACCTTGATACACGTCATTTATGTTTTCCATCTCTTTCATCAGGGTGACAAGTATTTTTACTAGCTTTAGGATATTTTGTACATATTTATGATTGTTTAAATTCAACATTTCTATTTTAGTGTGGTTTTCGATCGTATTAGTTTTGGTTTAGTAATCTATACATACATATAATTGTTAATCTGTATAGAAGTCAATTCTGTACATTAAATATATTTTGAAAATAACTATCAGAGGTGATTGGTAGTCGATAAGTCGATACTGATGCCAAAAATACAATCGCTAAAATGTTTGTCTGTCTGTCTCTCTGTCTGTCGTATGTTCCTTATCCCATTCGTTGTTACCAACGCACTATTTGCGTTGATCGAGAAAACTACGTCATGCCACCAACATACCGTATGCGTTGAGGGTACCTTAGGACTTTTATTGGCATTACATAAAAATTATAAAAAATATTTAAATATTTGTCAACATTCATGGCCAGAAACAATGTTTAAATGTAGAAATACTGTTGGTTTTTGCTTTGAACTGTATTTTTGTGCTGATAAGGTAAAAACGGTTGGTGCCGTGAAGATCGATTTTGATTTTGGAATAACAGATTTAATGAGTGTTTACCGCATATTTGTGAATTGTCCATCGCCTGCGCTGCGCCGGCCCCGTCGCTTTACGTCGCTTGTGTGTGTTTTAGGTCTAAGGCGAGCACAAAGCGTGCGCGGATGCTGTGCGTGTTCAGCGCATGTTATCTTATTACACCCTTAAGAGTACTTACGTATACAAACAACCGTTAACACTTAACAGTAATATTGCTATATCTAGTTATCATTTCTTTGGATATTAAACTTGACACTATTGAACTATTTGAATATTTTGGCAGGTAAGCAACACAAATTAAAAAGAAATACTACGTATGTAAACAATAAGGATTATAATGAGAGGTATTCTTTCAAAAACACCCCTTGAAAAGAAGTCAATCTGATAAGTTCCCATTTAAGCTTAAAAATTACTTGCAGCTAAAAGCCAATATTTGATTTCATAAGTCCTTACCAGTCCACGATATCAACCATTCCAGTTACAAGTCCTCGTTTTTATTCCAAATCATAAAGCCTAGTATCAAGTCCTTTTTATTTAGATAATAACAAATGTTTATACATATTGAAAGAGGGCAAATTAAGATCATGTGCATTGACGATAGGATCCCGATCACGATTTTCAGCCACCATAGGCGCGGGCTAGCGGATGGTGAATAATTGGTAGATTGCCGTCTGGCCGTACCGGGAATATATAAAAAAAGTCATTACAGTGCAAAATCATTTTTATTAATAAAAATCACAAGTTTATATCAAACGTGTGAAAATAAAACAGTTTTATGCAATTTTTGTCTTTTAGTGCGAATGTCACCCAAAAGCCTTTGAGTATAAGTTTTTAGATAAGAATGAATTCTTATTTTAAAAAAACTATTCGAAATATATTTTATTATTTCAGTTTCGTGTAAATCCATACAAGTATCAGTGATTGGATGTTTAGGCAAAAATAATTCCTGCAACAATGGATAAAATTTTTCCAAGACCGCTAAAACTAATTTCGATTGCAAATTATTCGTTTTACTGTGAAGCAATCCTTTGGATACCGAATGCTTAAACAAACTATCTGAGTAGCGGACTATCTCGAACGCTGCATCAGATGCGAAACATAATTTACCCCTATTTACAAAGGTAGTAAACGCAGAATATTTATTAATATTAACAAAATAATCATGATCATATTTTTTTTCATTTTGGGTAATTAATAATTGATGACAAAAGTTACAAGTATTTTTTTGTAAAATTTTATGAACTATGAATCCTGTTATATAGTACAGCACGTTTTCTTGGTAAGCACTTAATTGAGGACTTTCAAGATTTTTTATCATTTCACTAAATAAATCATCAACATCATCTTTATTTAAATTATTTTGTTCAATTATAGAATCAGTTTTTGATTTAAAATCAATAATATGATTAGTATGAAATGTATCGTCTATACAATTGGCATTTATGCTAGGCTGAATAGAATTTCTAAATAGAAGTTTTCTTAAAATATTTCTGAACTCTAACGGACTGGGGTTATCCTGAGTTCTTCCTCGGGCTCTGATTACAGAAAAAAAGATTTCCAAATTGTCTTGAGAGCATTTAAAAGTAAGGAAATATTTTAAAGGATTTTCAGGCAAAGACGTTAACTCTTCAAATAATGAAGACAGAGACGAAATATTCATTAAAAACCCAAGACAAAATGTTTTACGATTATGAAACCGTAAATAAGTGTTATCGATTTTTAATTCTTTTAAATAATCAACAGTTTCCCGGAAAAAAGTTTGCCAAATTTCTTTATTGCGAGAAGAGAGTGGTGATTTAAAATTTTTTCCGAACGGCGAACGACAATTCATATAATCAAATAATCTATCTATTATTCTTATAAAATGTGTGGTAGCTTCACTATTATCAAATATATGATTACCACTATTCCTTAGAAAATCAATTGCATCTGCCACCGATGAGCTTAGGGTCTGAGCAGCTAATCGAACATTCATTTTTTTATTTTGAAATTTTACATGCGTACCCGTAATATTATTAGAAAGTTTGAGCCCCTCTTCTTCTTGTACTTTATAAAGTTCTTCTATGTACTTAAAAGATATTTCACCATTTGATGACTTTAACCCAAAATCAAACATTACATTTCTTGCTAATTTTAACATA